ACGCAAGGGTCCTCACTCTGTGCCAGCCTGATGGCGGAACGCAAGGGTCCTCATTCTGTGCCAGCCTGATGGCAGAACGCAAGGGTCCTCACTGTGCCAGCCTGATGGCAGAACGCAAGGGTCCTCACTGTGCCAGCCTGATGGCAGAACGCAAGGGTCCTCACTGTGCCAGCCTGATGGTAGAACGCAAGGGTCCTCACTGTGCCAGCCTGATGGCAGAACGCAAGGGTCCTCACTCTGTGCCAGCCTGATGGCAGAACGCAAGGGTCCTCACTCTGTGCCAGCCTGATGGCGGAACGCAAGGGTCCTCACTCTGTGCCAGCCTGATGGCGGAACGCAAGGGTCCTCACTCTGTGCCAGCCTGATGGCGGAACGCAAGGGTCCTCATTCTGTGCCAGCCTGATGGCAGAACGCAAGGGTCCTCACTGTGCCAGCCTGATGGCAGAACGCAAGGGTCCTCACTGTGCCAGCCTGATGGCAGAACGCAAGGGTCCTCACTGTGCCAGCCTGATGGTAGAACGCAAGGGTCCTCACTGTGCCAGCCTGATGGCAGAACGCAAGGGTCCTCACTGTGCCAGCCTGATGGCAGAACGCAAGGGTCCTCACTGTGCCAGCCTGATGGTAGAACGCAAGGGTCCTCACTGTGCCAGCCTGATGGCAGAACACAAGGGTCCTCACTGTGCCAGCCTGATAGATGAACGCAAAAGTCTTCACTCAGTGCCAGCATGATGACAGAACGCAAGGATCCTAGCTCTGTACAAGACTGTTCCAGCCTGATGGCCGACACAAGGGTCCTCACTCTGTGCCAGCCTGATGGGAATTTACTATGAGTCTTTAGTATGTGTCAGCTTAATAGGTATATACTACAGGTTTTTACTATATGCCAAAACCAACAGGGATGGTGGGAACCCCTCATAATGGGCACAGCAGGTGTACAGACCCGAGTACTCAGCAGAGGGATGGTGGGAACCCCTCATAATGGGCACAGCAGGTGTACAGACCCGGGTACTCAGCAGAGGGATGGTGGGAACCCCTCATAATGGGCACAGCAGGTGTACAGACCCGAGTACTCAGCAGATGGATGGTGGGAACCCCTCATAATGGGCACAGCAGGTGTACAGACCCAAGTACTCAGCAGAGGGATGGTGGGAACCCCTCATAATGGGCACAGCAGGTGTACAGACCTGGGAACTCAGCAGAGGGATGGTGGGAACCCCTCATAATGGGCACAGCGGGTGTACAGACCTGGGAACTCAGCAGAGGGATGGTGGGAACCCCTCATAATGGGCACAGCAGGTGTGCGCACTGATGGCAGCACATTATAGGTCCCTAGTCTGTTCCCCCTGGTGTCAGTCTGGTAGCAGTATATCACAGGTCCTCTCTTTGTGCCCTCTGTAGATATGGCCCAGAGCAGGGAGGGGCAACTGTGGCCCTCCAGCTGTTGGTGAACTACAAGCCCCATCATGCCTCTTTGGGAGTCATGCTTGTAACTGTCAGGTTTGCAATGCCTCATGGGACTTGTAGTTCTACAACAGCTGGAGGGCCACAGTTGCCCAGAGCAACATATTACACTGTTCCCATCACTCATAGCAGCTTAATAAACGCCATTAATTCACGATATCAGCATATTGCACCACGCCAATCCCAAATAGCAGCATGACACACCGTGCCGGTCCATATAGACCATACGTTACATTGTGCTGGGCTCTGATAGCAGAATATTACAATGTGCCGGTCCATATAGACCATACGTTACATTGTGCTGGGCTCTGATAGCAGAATATTACAATGTGCCGGTCCATATAGACCATACGTTACATTGTGCTGGGCTCTGACAGCAGAATATTACAATGTGCCGGTCCATATAGACCATACGTTACATTGTGCTGGGCTCTGACAGCAGAATATTACAATGTGCCGGTCCATATAGACCATACGTTACATTGTGCTGGGCTCTGACAGCAGAATATTACAATGTGCCGGTCCATATAGACCATACGTTACATTGTGCTGGGCTCTGACAGCAGAATATTACAATGTGCCGGTCCATATAGACCATACGTTACATTGTGCTGGGCTCTGACAGCAGAATATTACAATGTGCCGGTCCATATAGACCATACGTTACATTGTGCTGGGCTCTGATAGCAGAATATTACAATGTGCCGGTCCATATAGACCATACGTTACATTGTGCTGGGCTCTGACAGCAGAATATTACAATGTGCCGGTCCATATAGACCATACGTTACATTGTGCTGGGCTCTGACAGCAGAATATTACAATGTGCCGGTCCATATAGACCATACGTTACATTGTGCTGGGCTCTGACAGCAGAATATTACAATGTGCCGGTCCATATAGACCATACGTTACATTGTGCTGGGCTCTGATAGCAGAATATTACAATGTGCCGGTCCATATAGACCGGGTGTCGGCAACCCGCGGCTCCAGAGCCGCATGCGGCTCTTTTTCATCTTTGCTGCGGCTCCGGAGCACACTGCCCACCAGGTGACAGGCAATAGGGTTTCAGTGGTCGGCAAGCCGCGGATCGCAAGCCACATGCGGCTCTTCTGTGTGCCGGGCGCCTGCTCCCCTCCCTCCTCTCGGGCGGCCGCCTCAAAAGTCAGGACTCTTTTAATCCGGCCCGCGGAGCGTGGAACATTAGCTGTCAGGATGTAGGCGGGGCAGCCAGGATGTAGGCGGGGCAGCGTGACGAACTCCTCTCACAGTCCGCCCTGAAGACCGGAACACAGCGCGGGAACACAGCGAGAGGAACGCGCGGAGCAAAGGTAAGTGAATTGAGACAATATGGGGAATTAATTACTATAGGGGGATGAATTACTATGGGGGATGAATTATTATATGGAGGATTAATTACTATGGGGGATGAATTACTATGGAGGATGAATTACTATATGGGGGATGAATTACTATGGGGGATGAATTACTATATTGGGGATGAATTACTATGGGGGATGAATTACTATATGGGGGATGAATTACTATGGGGGATGAATTACTATGGGGGATGAATTACTATATGGGGGATGAATTACTATATGGGGGATGAATTACTATGGGGGATGAAGTACTATGGGGGATGAATTACTATATGGGGGATGAATTACTATGGGGGATGAATTACTATGGGGGATGAATTACTATATGGAGGATGAAATTACTATATGGGGGATGAATTACTATGGGGGATGAATTACTATGGGGGATGAATTATTATATGGAGAATTAATTACTATGGGGGATGAATTACTATGGAGGATGAATTACTATATGGGGGATGAATTACTATGGGGGATGAATTACTATATTGGGGATGAATTACTATGGGGGATGAATTACTATATGGGGGATGAATTACTATGGGGGATGAATTACTATGGGGGATGAATTACTATATGGGGGATGAATTACTATATGGGGGATGAATTACTATATGAGGGATGAATTACTATGGGGGATGAAGTACTATGGGGGATGAATTACTATATGGGGGATGAATTACTATGGGGGATGAATTACTATGGGGGATGAATTACTATATGGAGGATGAATTACTATATGGGGGATGAATTACTATGGGGGATGAATTACTATGGAGGATGAATTACTATATGGGGGATGAATTACTATGGGGGATGAATTACTATATGGGGGGATGAATTACTATATGGAGGATGAATTACTATATGGGGGATGAATTACTATGGGGGATGAATTACTATGGAGGATGAATTACTATATGGGGGATGAATTACTATAGAGGATGAATTACTATATGGAGGATGAATTACTATATGGGGGATGAATTACTATGGGGGATGAAGTACTATGGGGGATGAATTACTATATGGGGGATGAAGTACTATGGGGGATGAATTACTATATGGGGGATGAATTACTATGGGGGATGAATTACTATGGGGGATGAATTACTATGGGGATGAATTACTATAGGGGGGATGAATTACTATAGGGGGGATGAATTACTATATGGGGGATGAATTACTATATGGGGGATGAAGCTAACTGCACGATCCTGTATATAGCATTAAGGTAAGAAACAATATATGCAGTGTCGGATTTGTTTTAAATGTTGCAATGGTTTTGCGGCTCCCAGTCTTTTTTTTTCCCTTCGGAAACGGGTCCAAGTGGCTCTTTATGTCTTAAAAGTTGCAGACCCCTGATATAGACCATACGTTACATTGTGCTGGGCTCTGATAGCAGAATATTACAATGTGCCGGTCCATAATACCAATATAGTACACTGTTCCAAACATTTTACACTGTGCCAGGATTTCATAGGATTTCATAGCAGATCATTACACTGTGCTTACATTTTACACTGAGCTAGTCTATCATACATCCCATTCCACCCTGATAGTAGCATATTACAGGAGTCACAGTATGTAAACATCTCATACTAGCATGCACGTTTGCACACGTGTCCTCAATTCAGAGAGGTTATTTAGAAAGCACTAATGCAGTATTTAGGCTAATGTGTACATACAAATGAGACCTGCAGGTGGAGCTATTGCAGCAGAATATAATGTACAACGAGGTGTATGGAGTAGCTCAGCACATTGTATTCTTCTAGACATGTGAAAAGCTGCAAACTCAAAAACAGCCACTAGATGGAGCTGGTTGTAAAAGCAAATATACCCTCTCCTGCCACTTTATTAAGTACACCTGTTCCATTGTTTAGTAACACAAATTGCTAATCAGCCAATCACATTGCAGCAACTCAATGCATTTAGGCATCTAGATGTTGTAAAGATGACTAGATGAAGTTCAAATCCAGCATCAGATTGGGGAAGAAAGGGGATTTAAGTGACTTTGAATGCGGCATGGTTGTCGGTGCCAGACGGGCTGGTCTGACCCCGGACCCTGCATTCACTATATCCGCTCTCCCCGGACCCCGCATTCACTATATCCGCTCTTCCCAGACCCTACATTCATTATATCCGGTCTCCCCAGACCCTGCATTCACTATATCTGCTCTCCCCGGACCCTGCATCCACTATATCTGGTCTCCCCGGACCCTGCATTCACTATATCCGATCTCCCCGGACCCTGCATTCACTATATCCGGTCACCCCAGACCCCGCATTCACTATATCCGATCTCCCCGGACCCTGCATTCACTATATCCGGTCTCCCCGAACCCCGCATTCACTATATCCGGTCTCCCCGGAGCCTGCATCCACTATATCTGGTCTCCCCGGACCCTGCATTCATTATATCCAAGTCTCCCCGGACCTTGCATTCACTATATCCGATCTCCCCGGACCCTGCATTCATTATATCCGGTCTCCCCGGACCCTGCATTCACTATATCTGGTCTCCCCGGAGCCTGCATCCACTATATCTGGTCTCCACGGACCCTGCATTCACTATATCCAGTCTCCCCGGACCCCGCATTCACTATATCCGCTCTTCCCATACCCTGCATTCACTATATCCGCTCTCCCCAGACCCTGCATTCACTATATCCGATCTCCCCGGACCCCGCATTCACTATAACCGGTCACCCCGGACCCGGCATTCATTATATCCGGTCTCCCCGGACCCTGCATTCACTATATCCGGTCTCCCCGGACCCTGCATTCACTATATCAGGTCTCCCCGGACCCTACATTCACTATATCTGCTCTCCCCGGACCCTGCATTCACTATATCTGGTCTCCCCGGACTCTGCATTCACTATATCTGCTCTCCCTGGATCCTGCATTCACTATATCCGGTCTCCCCGGACTCTGCATTCACTATATCTGCTCACCCCGAACCCTGCATTCACTATATCCGGTCTCCCCGGATCCTGCATTCACTATATCTGGTCACCCCGAACCCTGTTTTACTAAACCCAGGACCCTGCATTCACTATATCCGGTCTTCCTGGACCCTGCATTCACTATATCTGGTCTCCCCGGACCCTGCATTCACTATATCTGGTCTCTCCGGACCCTGCATTCACTATATCTGGTCTCCCCGGACCCTGCATTCACTATATCTGGCCTCCCCGGACCCTGCATTCACTATATCTGCTCTCCCCGGACCCTGCATTCACTATATCCGGTCTCCCCGGACTCTGCATTCACTATATCTGCTCTCCCTGGATCCTGCATTCACTATATCCGCTCTCCCCGGATCCTGCATTCACTATATCTGCTCACCCCGAACCCTGCATTCACTATATCCGGTCTCCCCGGACCGTGCATTCACTATATTAGGTCACCCCGGAACCCTGCATTCACTATATCCGGTCTCCCCGGATCCTGCATTCACTATATCTGGTCTCCCCGGACCCTGCATTCACTATATTAGGTCACCCCGAACCCTGCATTCACTATATCCGGTCTCCCCGGATCCTGCATTCACTATATCTGGTCACCCCCGGACCCTGCATTCACTATATCCGGTCTCCCAGGACCCTGCATTCACTATATCTGGTCTCCCACAGTACACACAACATGGAAATGCAATTATTTTCGTAAATATAAACTGCTAAATACCTTTTCTCATCGGCAGTATATAGCAGTCATGTGACTTCTATCAGTGTCCAGCAGAGCACTGGTTAAAACATGTAAGAGGAGTTTTCATTCTCCCCATGAGGCTGCAGGACCCATGACCTCTGTCTGGACAATACTGATTGGTCCTCTGCTGTTCATATGCACCCTCCCTAGAAAAAAAAAATTATCTAGCAACACACACCAAACTGAGCATGTACAGCTTGCCCTCAAGGCTCTGTTCTATCAGCAGATGGATTGGGGACAGTAAAAGATGGGGAACATCAGAGAAGACAGGATCAAAAAAATTTTTTACACAATGCAGAGTATTAAACCCTTAGGTTTCACCAGTTTGTATGTGCAGTAAATCATGCTTGTTATACTGACTGATTTTACTGTTGTGGGTTTAGGAACACTTTAACCTAAAGTTTATTCTGCTTATATTTTGTCTTCCCTGGTTCTCCCCCCCCCCCCCCCCCCCCCCCCCTTTATCATCATGCTAATAATGTTTTTAAATAAACTTGTTATCATTACATAATCACTAGGTCTCTGCGCCTCTCTAAAAGATGCAGTCAGATCATGGCTGGTGGGAGGGGACAGCAGAGTGCTGTACACAGCCTCCTGAAAACATAACAGCACTCTGCCTCTGTACTCCTCCTAGGAGCCCTGAATCCTGATGCAAGTAATGGGCTGGCTCTTGAGAGGAGTTATGTAAATATGAAAATGCCTTGATGGGTGGCCATATGCAGTGCTGGAATAGTGGTCCCAGGAGACGCCAGGGGTCTTGACGGGGGACTTAAGTGAGTTTGCTTCTCGAGGGAAAATAAAAACTCTGCAGGATGGGTTAAAGGAAAAGGAAGGGAATATATTGCCCATAGTGAGGCTTTAATTTTTATGGGAACAAGTGTCCTCACTGAGAGATTTCCTCTCTGTTCTTGTTCTGGTGGCAACTCAAAATTTTGGATTTCCCATCACTGTCCATTTCAGTGACAATGGCCACCAGGACATATAGAGAGGGTGACTCCCCCCCCCCCAGAAGGGACACAAATACCTAAAAGCCCCATATACTTAGCTGAACCAGTCACGTGACTGTCATGTGATATGTATACCTCTTACTGGCTAACAGTGTCCATGGGTAGGTGCTCACAGGATTCCCAAGACTTCCACCAGCGGTGGTGCCATGATGTCACGATGAGACGAGGCAGCAGGACAAAATTGGCAGGTCAAGGCTACAGCAGTAGATCATGGCTCTGCGGACTCCAGTATGTAATTACAGGGTGTTACAATATCCAGCAATAGAAATTAGTAACTGGAGGAGTGTTTGCTGAGAGATGGACTTTAGAAGAGGTGGGCCATGAAAGATCGCAGCATTTCTAAGCACGCGCTTCTATCTGCATCGACCAGCTGTGGGTGAATCTGCAATCTAAACGTCACAAACAGAAATCATTCCTTCAATTTCTTCAGGGTATAAATAACCTAATTATTCACAGCACTCACAACCCATCAGGCATTTTACTGACACGTTTCACAGTGTTTGCTGACAGATGGACTTTACTGACGAATTTCGCACAAAACTAGAAAATAATCTCAAAACACATCAACAAATGATTTTTGGCTGAAATCCTGGCTCCATGTGTCCCTGCACACACTGTAGGTGTCAGGAATGGACTCACCACAGGTGGTGCTGGGGTTCACCTGCCTTGTGGGCTGCAGTACCAGTGCTGGCCAGAGGGTGCTCTCAGCAGCCAGAATCTCACTCCTGCAATCAAGCCATCACCTGAGGCTGACTGCAGGAGGTGTATTTAAGCAATGGCCAGGCTTGCAGTCAGTGCCTTGGTGTATTGTGCCCATGAGCCCCTGTGCCTGATCCTGTCATCTGCCTTCCTGATCCCCCTGCCTGACTCCTGACTTTGATAGAACTCTGCTTGCACCGACCCCGGCTATTCCTGACCACTCTCCAACCTGCTCCTTTGGTACCTTGTCTGCCTGATTGTTCCTGACCCGGCCCGTCTGACTACGCTCTGCCTGCTCCTTTGTGTCTTGTCTGCCCGATGATTCCTGACCCGGCCCGCCTAACCACTCCACTCACCAGCCCTGACTGCTCTTGTCTGTGTACATTCCGTTATCAGTTGGAGGTTTGGTTTTGTTATATTGTGCGTTTTATATTTGTGTATAAGCCCTTAATAAATTATATTGTTACACCATACTTGAGCTTGCGTTTCCCTGTGTCAGTTCACACATCTCTGGTCATACCGGGAGCCCTGACAGTAGGCTACTGCACTCCTGGCTTATAGAAAGGACCAGATAGCTGCACTACTAAGTCCAGAAGACTATTAGCCACTGCAGGCATAGGGACTGGTGAGAGCACAGGCTCTCATTGCTGACATTAAGAATACTTCATGTCATCATTGGAGCTTCTTGGTGGGTCTTGGCTGGTTGCTTCATATGGCAAACAGAAGTCAGAAAACAGACACTCAGGAACTCCTGAAGGTTGGCTGTTCATTCTTCCTCCAGTAACAGGTCCCACTTTCAGCGGGTAAAATAAGTATTGAACACGTCACCATTTTTCTCAGTAAATGTATTACTAAAGGTGCATTTGACATGAAATTTTCATGTCGGTAACCCCCCATGCAATCCATACAAAAGAAACCAAAACAAATAAGTTCAGAAATTAAGTTATGTGTAATAAAATGGAATGACATCGGGAAAAAGTATTGAACACATGAAAAAAGGAAGGTGCAAAAAGGCATGGAAAGCCAAGCTGATATCTATCAGTAATTAGAAAGCAAGCCCCTTGTCAATGCAAATTAATATAAGCTGGTTCAGACTCAACTGATGGCCTATAAAAAGGTACAGTTGCAAGAAAAAGTATGTGAACCCCTTGGGATTACGTGGAGTTTTGCATGAATTGGGCATAAAATGTGCTCTGAACTTCATCTAAGTCACAACAATAGAAGAACACAGTCTGCTGAACATAATACTACACAAACATTAGATGTTGCCATGGTTTAATTGCACATAACATGTAAACATTCACAGTGCAGGGAGAAAAAAGTATGTGAACCTTTGGACTTAATAACTGGTTGACCCTCCTTTGGCAGCAATAACCTCAACCAAACGTTTCCTGTAGTTGCAGATCAGACCTGCACAACAATCTGGATTCATTTTGTAACACTCCTCTTCACAAAACTGTTTCAGTGTAGCAATATTCTTGGGATGTCTGGTGTGAATCGCTTTCTTAAGGTCATGCCACAGCATTTCAATCGGGTTGAGGTCAGGACTCTGACTGGGCCACTCCAGAAGGCGTATTCTGTGCTGTTGCAGCCATTGTTTTGTTGAATGACTTGTATGCTTTGGGTCATAGTCCTGTTGCATCACCCATCCTCTGTGGAGCTTCAGTTGGCGGACAGATGGTCGTACGTTTTCCTGCAAAATGTCTTGATAAACTCTGGAATTCATTTTCCCATCAATGACAACAATCCGTCCAGGCCCTGAGGCAGCAAAGCGGCTCCAAACCATGATGCTCCCTCCGCCATGTTTCACAGTAGGGATGAGGTTTTGATGTTGATGTGCTGTGCCTTTTTTTCTCCACACATAGTGTTGTGTGTTCTTCCCAAACAACTCAATCTTGGTTTCATCTGTCCACAGTATATTTTGCCAGTAGTGCTGTGGAACATCCAGGTGCTCTTTTGCAAACTTCAAACGTGCTGCAATATTCTTTTTGGACAGCAATGGCTTCCTCCGTGGTGTCCTCCCATGTACTCCATTCTTGTTTAATGTTTTCCTTATTGTAGATGTGTCAACAAAAATGTTAGCATGTGCCAGAGATTTCTGTAGGTCTTTAGCTGACACTCTGGGATTCTTCTTTACCTCATGCAGCATTCTGCGCTGTGCTCTTGCAGGCATTTTTACAGGACGACCACGCCTTGGGAGAGTAGCAACAGTGCTAAACTTTCTCCATTTGTAGACAGTCTGTCTTACCGTGGACACATGAACATCAAGGCTTTTGGAGATACTTTTGTAACCCTTTCCAGCTTCATGCAAGTCAACAATTCTTGATCGTAGGTCTTCTGAGAGCTCTTTTCTGCGAGGCATGGTTCACATCAGACAGTGCTTCTTGAAACCAGTGAACCCAAAACAGGTGTGTGTTTTTTAAGGGCAGGAAAGCTGTCAGCAACACATCCAATATCATCACACTGATTGGAGTCAAGGTTGGCTCACTCTTGGCTCCAATTAGCTCTGGGAGAAATCATTAAGCTAGGGCCTCACATACTTTTTCCTCCCTGCACTGTGAATGTTTACATGTTATGTGCAATTAAACCATGGCAACATCTAATGTTTGTGTAGTATTATGTTCAGCAGACTGTGTTCTTCTATTGTCGTGACTTAGATGACGTTCAGAGCACATTTTATGACCAATTCATGCAAAACTCCACGTAATCCCAAGGGGTTCACATACTTTTTCTTGCAACTGTAGACCCAATAAATCCAGACAGCAGGGAGGAAGGTTTTGATCCAGGCAGCGGTTTCTCAAGAAGATCTACCAGGGTCAAGACTGGCCAGGTGGCAACCTTAATGCTGTAGCATTAACAGCACCATTGACTGTAAATCTCTTAACTAAATATTCTGTATGGGCGTCTACAATTTTTCGGCCATATAGGTAGGTGTGTTGGGCAGATGTCTACAGATTTTTTTCCATATACACTGTGTGCACAATTAGGCAAGATTTATTTTTGAGGACTCATTCCATTACTGAACTACAGTGCTCTCGGTCAAATCAAAATGTTAATAAACCTCAAACCTGAATATTTAGGAAATATAATGGCTTTCTTAGGAGAATATCGATGTGTGCACAATTACTGGGCAACTATTAGTGTGCAACTAAATGAAAAACAAACATTTTCCCATTTCACTTATTTATATTCATCTGTTAAAGTGAGAAAAAAACAACTCAAAATTTACAAATAAACACATGGTCTGATGCTGCCACATGGTTGTGTACCGCAGTTTAAAGATGTGAAAGGCCTGAGCATTGAATGAACAGTGTAAAGCAAGACACCTCTCCCTGGGGGATAACGACATCTGTAGGATTTTGATATACACATGCACATTTCCTATGTGCGGTCGGTGAGTGCGCATTTCTGCCATTTTTCCGGATCACTATAAGCTGTGTCCTTCACATTCACGGACCAATTATTATTTATGGATCGAACTTTTTATATCGAACTTTATATCGAACTTTTTATTCTGCCTTCTTAGCGCTGCACTTTATTTTACTGTTTAGAAAGGTGTACAGTTTTCCTTCACCGTTAATCTCTCATTTAAGAAGGGCCCACAAGTTCTCAGTAGGGTTTAGGTTAGGTTTTATCTTTAAGGCCTTTACTGGTTAGCCACACAGTGGGGTACTTTGATGCCTGCGATGGAGCATTCTCCTGCATAAATATCATGGTCTTCTTGAAAGATGCACTTTCTAGTACCACTGCTTGAAGAAAGTGTCTTCTAAAAACTGGCAGTAGGTTTGGGAGTTTGATTTTGAGTCCATCTTGAACCCAAAAAGGTCCAACCAGCTCATCTTTAACCACTTGCCTACCAGGCACTTATACCCCCTTATTTACCAGGCCAATTTTCAGCTTTCAGCGCTGCCGCACTTTGATTGACAATTGCGCGGTCATGCAACATTGTACCCATATGAAATTTTGATCATTTTTTTTCTCACAAATAGAGCTTTCTTTTGGTGGTATTTAATCGCCACTGGGCGCTTTACTTTTTGCGCTATAAAAAAAAAAAATGCAAAAAATTTGAAGAAAAAAAAAAAGTTTCTTTTTTTCTATTAGAACATTTTTTCAAACAGGTATTTTTTCTCCTTCACTGATGTGCGTTGATGAGGCAGCACTGATGGGCACTGATAGGTGGCACTGATGGGCACTGATAGGCAGCACTGAAGGGCACTGATAGGCAGCACTAATGAGGTGGCACGGATAGGCGGCACTGATAGACAGCACTAATGAGGTGTCACGGATAGGCGGCACTAATATGCAGCACTGATAGGCAGCACTGATAGGTGACACTGATGATGGGTACTGATAGACGGCACTGACTGGCATCACTGCTGGGCACTGACTGGCGGCACTGACTGGCACAACCCCTGGGCACTGACTGGTGGCACTGACTGGCAGCACTGCTGGGCTGCACTGGTGGGTGGCACTGGTGGGCAGCACAGGTGGGTGGGCACAGGTGGGTGGCACTGGTGGGCACAGGTGGGTGGGCACAGGTGGGTGGCACTGGTGGGCACAGGTGGGTGGCACTTCTGGGCACAGTGTGTGACACTTCAGAGTGGCACAGGTGGGTGCACTGCTGGGCACAGGTGGGCGGAGCTAGTGGGCACACTGCTGGACACAGGTGGGCAGAACTTGCGGGTGGCACTGCTGGGCACCGATCATCAGGGCACTGATCATCAGTGCCCTGATGATCGGTGCCGATCCCCGCTCTGACAACTGCCGGTTCTCGGCAGTACTTTCCTCACGATCTGACAGCGTGAGGAAAGTGCAGCCGAGAACCGGCACTTGCATTTCCCTCTGATCAGTGTGTCATTGGACACCGCTGATCACGTGGTAAAAGGCCGCTGTGATTGTCCTTTTACCACATCACGTGATCAGCTGTGTCCATAGGACACAGCGATCACGGAGATCGCCGGGTGCGCGCCCCCTGGGGCGTGCAGGAGAGTGCGTTCTTGGAGGACGTCATATGACGTCCACTCAGAACTGGCCGGCCGCAGTGCAGCCGTCATTCGGCTATCTGCGGTCGGCAGGTAGTTAATAATAATAACCCATACTAGTTCTTCACCTCCGGAGTCGTTACTCTGCATGTTACTGATCCAGCCACGGGCCCATCCATCTCATCCGTCAAGAGTTACTCTCATCTCATCAGTCCATAAAACCTTTGAAAAATCTGTCTTCAGATATTTCTTGGTCCAGTCTTAATGTTTCAATGTCTTTGTCTTGTTGGTGGTCGGGTTTCACCCTTCCGTACTTAGGCCATATCTCTGAGCACTGAACAACTTGTACTTCTGGGCATTCGAGGGAAAAGAAGCTGTCTAATAAGTATAATTATGCACACCTTGATATTAGGGTGTTGATCTATTAGGCCACACCCTCCCTCATTATGCAAATACACATCACCTAATATTCTTAAATCCAATAAGCATTCAAGATCATACAGCTTTCAGATGGACAATATGCATACAAATGATGATTTGGTCAAAATACTCACTTGCCTAATAATTGTGCACACAGTGTAGTGTATTGTAGGAACTGAATATTGGGAAAATACTTGATGAACTTGCTCCCAAGTGATCCTTCCTTCATAGGTTTAAATAATTGAAACTTTTGTGATTGTCCCCTAGAAGTGTCTGCAATTGCTCCTCTACGACCAGCAAAAAATCCGATCTTATCATAAACGCACAAAAGAATGATTTGAACAGAAGTTGTAGGGAAACACAGACAGAGCTTGTTTCCAAAACTGATAAACCATGCCTACGGTTTGCGAATGGCAAGGCACATGCGCTTCACATTCCATCCCAACACATAGGCACACCAAGTCTGCATAGAGCTGGGCATAAGAGATGCTAAATGCATACAACACCATCATGCCAAACATTTGGAAAACGACCAGAATGCATTAAAGCAAATTTCCTTCTGCAGAACTTTAGAGCAGCAGCAAATCAGCCAATACAGACAACTGCAACTGAGCAATGTGCCAGTCCTTTGCTGCATACAAACATGATCACAGGAAAGACTATGGACAAGCACAGAATATAGAAGCAAGACACTTCGACCGATGATGCGAAACAGAAAATGACAAAGCACACAGGGGGTCCAAGCAAACAGACAGACATCAGATTCACAGCTGTTGAGGAGAACCACCCGGAGATCTAAGAGGTCAAGAAAACCATCGACTAATAATCTTGGCAGGAACAAACCAGCTGTCTCCCAATCATTCTGTTTTTTTCCTGTAGACCTAGAATACAATTCCGGGACTATAAAGATCTATATATTTTTCAACAAGTATACCACTGCTACAAATCAGTCCAAGTGTTCCTGAACATAAATATGACTCACAAACCAAAAATCGGTCCATTTGGTTAAATCAATCCAAAGAAAAAACAAGTACTTGATTAAAGTATAAGTAAATCTTTGTATAGTTTTGGCTAGAGTAGAGGAGGGTTTACCCACTCCCCCATCGGGTTATTTTTTGCTGTCTGTATTGCTGCTAGGGAGATACCTTTTAATGTCCTGGCGTGAACATGCAACAGAAAGTGAGTGGAAATCTTCCTAAAGTGATAGGAATTCTACTCTTGGACATCAAATTATTTCTCTCTAATTGTCCCACCTCTTGCTATCATGACAACTCTACATTTTAGGATTTCCTATTACTTTTTGTTTTAGTGACAGTGGTCACCTGGACAAATAAAAGGATGAATCTACCGAATAGGGGTCACAGGCAGCAATAAAACTTGACGACGATCTTGGTAACCAAGACTAACCAAGGTCCAACCCTACCCTACTAATCTAGAAAAAACATTTTGTTTTTACATACACTTTAAGTCCATCTGGGTGCTTATGTACAGAAAAACTACAACAATCTGATCAAGCCAATGTTCAGAAAGAGACAGACGCAGCTCATACCAACCCAGAGACTGTAGAGAGTAGCCTCAGACCAATCTGACCAAGCCAAAGTTCAGAAAGGGATAGACGCCGCTCATACCAACCCAGAGACTGTAGAGAGTGGCCTCAGACCAATCTGACCAAGCCAAAGTTCAGAAAGGGATAGACGCCGCTCATACCAACCCAGAGAGTGTACCTCAGACCAATCTGACCAAGCCAAAGAGAAAGGGATAGACGCCGCTCATACCAACCCAGAGAGTGTAGAGAGTGGCCTCAGACCAATCTGACCAAGCCAAAGTTCAGAAAGGGATAGACGCCGCTCATACCAACCCAGAGACTGTAGAGAGTGGCCTCAGACCAATCTGACCAAGCCAAAGTTCAGAAAGGGATAGACGCCGCTCATACCAACCCAGAGACTGTAGAGAGTGGCCTCAGACCAATCTGACCAAGCCAAAGTTCAGAAAGGGATAGACGCCGCTCATACCAACCCAGAGAGTGTAGAGAGTGGCCTCAGACCAATCTGACCAAGCCAAAGTTCAGAAAGGGATAGACGCCGCTCATACCAACCCAGAGAGTGTAGAGAGTGGCCTCAGACCAATCTGACCAAGCCAAAGTTCAGAAAGGGATAGACGCCGCTCATACCAACCCAGAGACTGTAGAGAGTGGCCTCAGACCAATCTGACCAAGCCAAAGTTCAGAAAGGGATAGACGCCGCTCATACCAACCCAGAGACTGTAGAGAGTGGCCTCAGACCAATCTGACCAAGCCAAAGTTCAGAAAGGGATAGACGCCGCTCATACCAACCCAGAGACTGTAGAGAGTGGCCTCAGACCAATCTGACCAAGCCAAAGTTCAGAAAGGGATAGACGCCGCTCATACCAACCCAGAGACTGTAGAGAGTGGCCTCAGACCAATCTGACCAAGCCAAAGTTCAGAAAGGGATAGACGCCGCTCATACCAACCCAGAGAGTGTAGAGAGTGGCCTCAGATCAATCTGACCAAGCCAAAGTTCAGAAAGAGACAGACGCCGCTCATACCAACCCAGAGACTGTAGAGAGTGGCCTCAGACCAATCTGACCAAGCCAAAGTTCAGAAAGGGATAGACGCCGCTCATACCAACCCAGAGAGTGTAGAGAGTGGCCTCAGACCAATCTGACCAAGCCAATGTTCAGAAAGAGATAGACACCACTCATACCAACCCAGAGAGTGTAGAGAGTGGCCTCAGACCAATCTGACCAAGCCAATGTTCAGAAAGGGATAGACGCCGCTCATACCAACCCAGAGAGTGTAGAGAGTGGCCTCAGACCAATCTGACCAAGCCAAAGTTCAGAAAGGGATAGACGCCGCTCATACCAACCCAGAGAGTTTAGAGAGTGGCCTCAGACAATCTGACCAAGCCAGTTGGGTGGATCTCAAAAGGTAAACCTCCAGATCAACTCAGTCTGACTATTCCTGAACAAGTAAAGTACCAAAACCTGAACACACCAGGCAGAGTGTTCCTTGGTATATAAAAATACCATTCCCCAAACAAGTCTTTCCATGTGTTCCTGAAGATACTTATTACAGCTCAGTGATTAAACCAATCCAATAATATTTCAATTGGTACATTACCAAAATAATTAAAAAAAATGTTTTGGCATTTCTGAACATAAATACAGCTCACAGACCAAGTCAGTCAAGGTGTTGGTTGGTTGTTACAACACAACCCCAAGTTCAAGTTCACCTAGTTGGTTTTTCACAGCTGCTACTGTATCTTTCTTGGTGTCCCCCAACAGGTTTCAAACAACCTTCTGACCAAGTCACTCTAGGTGCTCCTCATCAGTTATGGTATATCTCCCTGATATATTCCAAGTATTCCTGAACAGGTTTAGTACCTTTACCAGAGAACAAGTATGTCTGGGTATTCAAAACAGGTAATCGTACTACTACCAGAACAAGGCAGGCTGGTTTTTCCCTGAACAGATGTATTGTAGCACTTTCCTGATTAGGTATAAAAAGCACTACCTGAACAAGTTAACCTGAGTGTTCCCAAACAGTTATAGTTAACAGTTATACCACTGCCAAAACCAATCAGGGTATAAGGGTATTCCTCAACAAATACAATACAGTTTCTTAGGAGGACTGTTTGTTCAAAATGGATCTTTCTGAAGCAACTGCAATAGTTTTCTTCTTCTAGATAATTAGTGTTCAGATCTCCTGTTGTCTACAGCCAGCTTAAGTAATGCAGGCCATACATAGGTCGAATTCTGAAAGAATTTTCTTTCGTAAATCGTAACTAAGAATTTTTGTTTGAATTTCAGACCATTACTGGGCCTCAACATCAGCTGATTTTTGTGCGGACATTGAATTTGAGTGATCGGGCATAATAAAAGTTTGTTCGTTTTTCAAAAAATTTCTAATCAATGATGGGAGAATCATGCGATAAATATAATGAAAAAAGAAATGAGCATGAGCTGTGACCTGGAATGAAAAGAAGATTCCTCTCCACGAAAATTATTTTCTGTAGCATCAAGGGGTGAAATTGAAGGCAGGCCATACATGGGTCAAAGTCTGAACTATTTTTTTTTAGAAAACTGGAAATTTTGTGTTTTGTAATCCGATGGTACCACCACTGATTTCGAAATATGACCAACCAAGCCTTCAAATTCACCTCATGTTGCTACAGAATAGAATGTTCATGGCTGTGAATCTTCTTTTCTTTCCAGGTCTCAGCTCATGCTCATTTCTTTTTCGATCATATTTTTTTCACGAATCTCCCATCATTGATTAGAAATTTGTTCATTTTTTAAAAAATTTTCATTATGTCCGATCACTCAAATTCAGTGGCTGCACGAAAATTGGTCGATGCTGCAGCCCACTAATGGAGTGAAATTCGAATGGAAATTCTTAGTTACAATTTTTCAA